ACTGGTTTGAGATAAGGACCGAAAAAACGCGTTGGAATTTTCTTAAGATTTATTAATTTAACCCATATTGGAGCAAATCAATTATTCTTGTGGAATTCATTTGAAAATTCACACTTGGTTCAATTAAGTGTTTTGGAAATTTTTTTGCAGAATATAAAAATGGATCTCCAGAAGAAATCTTTTCTTTAATTAAAACACTATTAAAATTCTAGCAATATCTCAACTCTACCTAGAATTAGTCTATGAGACAAACTTTTGACATAACTCCTTTCTTCAAGTTGTTTTTCGCAAGTTAGTCTCCTTATTTTTTCACCTGTGGTCTACTCAGGCTGTGATGGTGCTCCCTTGCTTCCACTGCTTTACATAGTTTCCAATATCTCTCTCAACATATCTGTGCTGAATATTGTTAAGACTTCCTCTGCTGTTGTTGCTGCTCTTCTCATGGCTTTATCAGGTTCTCTCTCTCTCTCTCTCTCTCTCTTCCTTGCACACTTTGTTCTACCTGTAACGGACCTGAAGGACATTTTTCCTAATGGACATTCTGATCCCTTTTTGCAGTGCCAATTGCAATTTATGTGCTGTCTCTTCCATTGCCATATCTCCCTGAAGGTGTAAGCTTGAGCCCTTTTTTTCTGTTAGGAAGTATGATTCTTGTATTCGGTCTTGTATTATACAACATAAGGAAGCCTCCTGAGCACGGACCGTGATTTGTTTGGCATTTAGTAGACCTACTGCAACAGGGGATTGATTCAGAATTTTTTTGCTATGGAGATACAAGTTAAACTGAAGATCTTTCTTTAATTGCAAGTCTAATTTTTTCAAATATATATCACTTTACCTCCATTGTCTAATATTGTTGACTGCAAAGTTTATAATAGATTTTTCTTTGGACCGCATTTTAGTTGTAAAATATTATCTTGAATGTCATTTAAATTTCTACATTTATATATCTCTTCAATGTATATACATATGTGAAGATAAAGACAAATTATTGAAAAATGGTAAATATAAGGTATTTGAAAATCCCCAAACCACCTATACAATCTTCATTTCTGTAAGCCGCAACATTCTTTTATTTTTCTTTCAAACACAATATATTTTAATTATCTTCTTAAAATTGTGTTTCTATTTTCAATTACATTTCTTCAAGTGTAAATATGTAAAAAATAAAAACCAAAACACCATTTAACTGTTAATCAGAACTTAAAATCTGTCCTGGGATTCTTCTGCCCTGGAGTCCCAATATTGTAGTAGCTGTTTTAGACAACTGAATTCTGTTCTTTCATAGAGGCTGCCTTCTGTCTACAACATCCAGATGTTCCGATTCAAAGAACGCAAGCAATCTAGATATCTAGAATCCACAAATTCAAAACTGCCTTGATATACATATGGATGAAAATTTGTCCATAGAACAACCAGTTTACTTTATAAAATACTAATGACTATTCTGCAATTATCTTTGGCAAACCCTACAGATATCTAACGCACAGTCCAGATATTCGTTAAGAAATCAGAAGTAAACATATGAAGCAAAGTAGTAACTGCGATGAATCCATTGGTGTGTTATATAAGAATTGGCACTGGAAAAAGAACTGAAAGACTACAACTCCCTTCATTGCTCTGTAAACCTTAGATTTTGGTATTTCAATGCTTCCTCTGCAGAAGGAGAAGAGTGTCAGTTCTTACTTCGCCAAAAAAATTGCAATATATTCAAGAAGCAGAGAGAAACAATTTAAAGAAAATTCTAAGAGAACTTGGAACTTTTGGTAACACAACGAAGTTATTGAATGACTTCGTTGTGTTACTAAAAGTTCCAAGTTTTTATGACTTGATTGATTATACCCACTTATACTAAAATGCTCCACATGTCAAATATATTGCATGAACACAATACAGGCCAAGGAAATCTCTCTCAGTCAGAAAATACATGTTCGCGGCTCAAGTCTCTTTTTTCCTGAAAAATATAGTATTAATAAGCACCAAGGGTTTTTATGCAATTACAAAACCTTGGTGCTTATATTTCCAAAAAAAAAAAACACCAACGGTTTGTCTTGCAGATAATTTTTTTAAAAATCCCCTAGTCCTCGCAAATATCAAGAAAAAGCCCGTAACTAAAAAAAAAACCTAAGATCTAC